TATATATATATATATATATATATATATATATATATCTGCTGGAGAGACATAATGTATGTAGCTTAGACAAATTAATAAGAAATGTCACCAGTTAAGGATATACTCCAACACATGCTGAAGACAAAATGAAAGAGAGGGAACATCCTAGTGTGTAGTGTCAGCTCCACTTCAATGCCTGAAACATTACACCCTCCCAAATTCATAAATTCATAAACATAATACAAAGTTTACCAGTCTCTGCATAAAGGAATGCTACAGTGTAAAGATGAAAAGTACAGATGTATTGCTGGTGCTGTGAGGCTCTTCTCTGGCTATGTAAGTGAGGGCAAGATCATGGATGTTGGTCTGGTTTGATTTAGTACACCATATAGATTAATACACTGAGATGGCTCTACGGAGAAGCTCAGAGATCTCATGGTGTTGTGTAGGGAGTGAGGGAGTTGGATGGCGCATTGATCCCACCCCCTCTCACTGACAGAGTGGGGCCCCTGAGCGAGCTGGCCCTGCTAATAAGATTGTTGTCGAGGAATACAACGATAACCGTTATATCGTCGTGGAAATGCCGACGCACTCCACGTCCAATCTTCGTGAGATCAGAATACCTCATCTCTCGTTTTTTAGCTGCTTCCTGAAGTGCAATTTTCACAAGCCTTCGAGCACTCCCCTGCAGGATTTGTGCAGAAGAAATTTCATGGATCCCACTGTTAGTGAATTCAAATCAATGTAGAATACTTGGTAGGTAAATCCATAAGGTTTTGCTCAAAAATGTAAGTCAATTATTGAAAGAACTGCAATTAATTATCTAAATTAATAGAAAATCCTAGTATGCACATTGTAGATGCTGCTTCTACATGCATCCTTCTACCCCACAAGCCGTTTCAGATGTCTCCGTGTGTTGCCTATCCATGTCACAAATCAAATATCCATCAAAATCTTTGATTTGAAAATTCAATAACAAAAGAAAATGCCTTTTCAGATTCCAAATTTTAAACAGACTCTGTTTGCTTTGATTCAGTAGAGTGAAGTGTACCTGTGATATATTTAGGGGGTGCCATTGATTACGAGTAACTTCACTATGCTGATTATAAGGAGTACAGAGAGGTTAACTGCAAGGAGCGGGATTAACAGATTTTTAACCTATGATGGAATAGTACAGTTGATACGATCAGACTGTTTAGCCTATAACCGCATCAGTGCCCTATACTCCTATTACATAAGTTTTCTAAAGATGAGCAGCACATTTCTGGGAGGTTCTTATGGTTTCGCACGGATAGAAAGAAATGTGACGGTATGTTACAATGGAGTTATGTAGCAAACAAATAAACAAATATTAGGTATAAGGGATGTGAGGAATGGAATAAAACTGCTGCCCTTAAGCAGTCGTGCTTATTTTTCAGTAGGAACCACTTCTAATTGGTAAAATGAATTTACTACATGAAGATTAAAAATAGAAAGAAATTAGAGTGCTTATTTGGATCTTCATGCCCCAATGATAGGAACTAGACTAGGAGAGAAATTTCAACTGAGGTGAGGTTAGCGGTCAAATCTGCTTTCACTTTGGAAATGGTAATTACTTAATTATCTTCATATGAAAATTAGAGTGGCTCTATTTGATCTAAGGTTTAGGAAATTTACCAAAGGTTCAAACTTACAGTCTCAGCAAGAGTATCTGATGATTTTGTAAATGCAGGTGGTTTGTGGCACCTGCTATTAACACTGTTTATCAAGGTTTATGCAAAAAAAGTCGCAGAATTCCTGGTAGTGTGGATGAACCAATTTAATTGCTTACCAATAACAGTAAACTTTTGTGAAGGAAACATATGAAAACAATAGTGAATATAAAACTGAAGTGGGTTGGGCAAACCTTGTATATGGTTCAGTAGCCGAATCTTAAGCAACTACTGTTTGATTATTTGGCAGTTAAGGGGAAACTATTAAATCAGGATGAATTAGTACAAAGAAGTATTTCACGAAGTCAATGCTCCTGCCAAAATGCTTTTGAAAACATTTTTTTTTTCTAAGTTAACCTTTGATCTGTGAAATTTGCAATAAAATCTTGACATTGTGTAATGTTTGGAACAACAGCCATAGAAGAACACAACACTTCCTCAATTATCTTTTTCTAAAAGTTCCTCAAATTTATTCTAACCAAATATCAGTTTGTGTACTTCTAGATACTAGTGAATTTGTTTTATGAAGTGAACTTTCTTTTGGAAAGCTATTAAGCTTGTATATAGATGAATGTCCCACTGGAATTTATAGTTGTATCAGCAGAGGTTGTTGTTGGAGTATGGCAACAAAGTTGTTCTTATTGCTTGCTAAGAAAATTAAAATTAAACTGACATAAGAAAATTTGAGATTTTAATTATGGTACCTGAGGCCTGTTATCCTTTGTTCTAGCAACTTGCTCTCAAAATATATAACCAAAATTTGTATCTCAGATACAAGTCCAAATTTGTGCATTCATGTTAAATTTAGATTGTTTCACATGTTGCTCAAGTATATGTAGGCCATAACTGTCAGAGTTTATGATGAGTATTTTTTTGTGAAACAGGGCAACCTATAATGGTGTTAGGGCTCAAGAAGTTGGGTACTGAGACTGAATGCATAAAGAAACAAATTTACTGCAAGGTGAAGGTTCAAGATCAGCCAAATTAGATTATATGTTTTGGGCACGTGTACTATCAAGAAATTCATCTATCATGTCAATCATAGAACAATAGGATAAAGTTTTATTTTTGTAATGATCACCGAAAGCACTTCTACAAGGGCATAGAATCCAAATTCTTAGTGCTTACTGCAAAATCTCACATGAATTGACACTTAACACTTGCTCCTGCACTGAAATATAACCTTCTTGCCTGTTGATTTATACTTAATGTGACTATAGGAAAATCTCATTTAAAATGAACCTAGACTAGTTTATTAATTTATTTACTTATATATTATTATATTATAGAAAAGAACAAATATGTATTAAGAAAACAATGTACGATGTTAAAATATATTCTAAATAAACCAGTAGCATAAAGAAAAATCAACGCACTTAGGTGTTTAGCACTGAGAAGAAAGTCAACCAAGAACCATATACAATCATCCTAGTTTGGTGCAACCCCTAAATTCCTAGACATAAGAAATGCAACCAGTGGTTGCACTCAAATTATATGAGCCTAGACAATATAAAATGACCTGAATCACCCAGCAAGTATACCAAATTCTCCTAAATTTTTTACACATAAAAGACACATTGTACCTGATGCATACACATGAAACAGTTCACCAAACACTTATTTCAACAAGTATTCAGTTGATGAGTTGTCATGAAAATATGATTTTTTTCTAATAAAAAAAATCGATATAGGTGGTCCCAACTTCTTTAAAATCAAATCAACAAAATGTAAAAGACAGCAATTACTTCAAGAAATGAACAATACAATGAGGGGATGAAATATAGAACTTACACTGCGAGGGTTGTTTTGAACAATATCAACAGCTTCTTGATTACTTAGATGCTCCCAAAGCCCATCAGATGCAAATATAAGGAATTGATCTTGAGGTTGAAGTGAATGAACAGTGATTGATGGTTCTGAACTCAGGATAGGTTTCTTGAAAGGTTCACGGAGTCTGAACTTCACATGTAATGGTTCACGGTTAAATTCTGCCTTTTTAAGGTATACATCACCAATTGACCTACAGACCTGAAATAGCCATGCTGTTGAGTTGAATGAAGCAAAGAAAATGAAAAGCAAAAAGAAAATCTGGTATTAAGAAATGAAAACTGAATATTGGATTAATTATACAGAATAGATAGCACAAAATTGATACTCAGATCACAACTGTCGAAGTGTTTTATCAAATATATATGATATCAGGCATCATTTGTAGGGTAGTGATAAGACAAAGAATGTTATGTACTAATATCATGAATAGAAAATTTTGTGTCCACAACTAACTAGGATAAGAGCTAAATTAAGGGCGATGTCGCTAAATAATTCAAGTATCATCAAAACCCTAACTAATTAAGTTTTATTTGGACTTCCTCTAACTCTCTTAACACCATTAAATTAAATTTATTCAGCTATTTTTATGATGCATTTATATGTCCTCCCTTGCATATGTCCAAATTGCTTTAAAGAGTTTACACATTTATCCCAATCATCAAAACATCCTCATGTCTGCAATATTAAATTTTTTTAATATGTTAGTAGTGTTTGATTGTCATGTGGCTATCTGACAAAAGAAATCATAAATACAGTGGGAATCCCTACTTGGTAGATCTAAGTGTTGGGTGCACACACACACACACACACATATAATCTCATTGAGATAATGTTTTTGAGATAGGCGTATGCAATTATTAGAACAAACAGAAAAAGAAATATTTGAATTTATGAACTGCAGGATATAGTACTACCAACTGAGGCTAACATGAGGAAAACCATTTAAGGGGATTCAAACTTGATAAAAAAGATGTATTCTTGCACTAGTTAGTTGAGCTCATCCGAGTAGTATAACAAGAGGTAGTTGAAATATGCATTCAAGGACATGATGGCTCATTATTCAACTAGCAATACAACCCTTAAGAGCCCATGGTGGGAAAACATGGATGTAA